ACTCAAAACTAGCCTAAAACTAGCCCAATCGCTACTCTAAACTAGCCTAAAACTAGCCCAATCGCTACTCAAAACTAGCCTAAAACTAGCCCAATCGCTACTCAAAACTAGCCTAAAACTAGCCCAATCGCGGGGGGTACACGTTTTTGGCGGGGTTCACCTGCTAAAATTCGCATTCCAGGGGATAAATATCATGTTATTGGAGTCGCTTCAACCCGCGGCAACAGTGTTAATGTAGCCCAATTCCGCGGGAAAACCGCAGACTTGGCAACACTGGTGAACATGCATTTATTCATCTCACTTGCATAAAAACAGATTCAGTATTTCACAAAATAATTAAATGTTAACACAAAAATCTGTTATGTGTTTAATTCCTTCAGCCTGAGGCTTGCTCATTTCACTTTTGTTGTAAAAGGGCTTTTACATTTGCCAAAAATAGAACTTTTTATATTAAAAACAAACAAACAAGCCCAGGCCAGATGAGAAAAAGTAGCGCAAAAGTAACGTAACTTTTACTTTTAGTTACTTTTTTAGGGAGTAATGCAATATTGTATTGCATTACCTTTAAAAGTAACTTTTCCCACCGCTGACTGCATGTGATTCAAGGCCATTAGCAATACTACAATGACGGGGTTGATTATGTTACCCCATAACTTATTTGCTCATGAATGGTGAGATTAAAAATATTTATGGCTAAAATATATCCAAGAACAATGGAGTGTGTTGCAGTTTGTAACGCTTGAAAAGAAAACACATGCTTTAATTATTGCTGCTGCTCTTGTTTAGGCAAGCACATCCGAAGCATTGGGCAGGGTGCATCATGTGGCCTGCCAGACAGACGCACCACAGCTGTGCACAGTTGGCACCCAGCTTTCAATAACAACTCTACGACCTCACTACAGAAGCACAGGTTTGCTGACCCATGACCTTATAGTGTGAAGTCATTTATTCTGTTTCTGTGGTATTTCTAAATTGTAATTGCTATTAATTTCATATAAATCCACGGTAAGAAGATGTCTGTTTTTATGTACCATAGGCGTACAGACAACTATGCCATGCCCTGATGTTAGTGTTGGCACCTCACAACCACTGCTGTCATCACCGCCAATAAAGATGCCCCGCTTGGAGCTGAAGGAGGAAGAGGAGGACCAGGAGAGCCATTGGGTTCTACAAATGACCGTGTAGACTCTGTCACAACTTTGACTGGGCCGGCAGATGTGACGTGAGTTTACTTGACTTTAGTAAACATTTTACATTCAGTTGGATTGCATTCATCAAAATATTTAAGATGTTGTGGTGTGGAAGTAGGTCGTTTTTCTATGAAATCTATATTTTTCTAATAGAATGGAATCTTCCAAGCCGGCAACATATATGTGACCCTGGAGCACAAAAGCAGTGTTAAGGCGCTGGGGTATATTTGTAGCAATAGCTAACAATACATTGTATGGGTCAAAATACTATTAATATGGTCACGAACTGATTTTTGACACAGTGTATGATCCTAATGAAAAGTATATCTGAATATTACAGTGCTCTACCAATGATATTATGGTACTTCCAATGATATTACGATTGCAATGATACTTATGTAAACAATGCATTTTATGTTAATAAATTGACAATAGTCAATGAAACTGAAACATCATTTTTGATGTCAGTAATATCAGTATTGCTGAGTTTAATTAATTCCTCTTATTTCAGGATGTTACCTTGCCATGCTTAAACAGCCAATTAAATGGTTTGGAGAATGTGTATAGCTACTCATGAACAAGATGATTCATGAATATGTTTTGTCTATTTTCTCAAAATAAAAAGACAGGATTTTGTATATATGGTAAAAGTTGTTTTTTAATCTATTCAGTGAGGAGAAGTTAGTGTATTAGTATTGACCCTTATGACTGGTTTTGTGCTCCAGGGTCACATATTGTTTATGAAAACTGCCTGCTGGAGTGCCCTATACGTCAGCGGGTTTCAGATGTGCGGACAAGAAGGCTTGGCACATTCCTCTCCATGGTGCCCACACAGAGTTCTCTAGAAAACAGAATAGCCAGTCAACGTTTGGAAGCACTCCTGCAGGGAATGTCCAGCTTTCTGTTGCAGTGTATGCCACTGGTGCCTTTTTTCTTCACACTTGAAAAGGTAGGCGATATAGGGGATATATTTACTATATCACTATATAGTAAATAATTGACTATAGCAATTAATATCACAGGATATGGAGAGAAATGAACGTACTGTCCCTGAAGCTATACTGAAACTAAGACTTTTCCTTTTCTGACCTCAGATCTTCTGGGCAATGCAACTGGAATTGATCCACAATGGCATCTTTTGAAGGCATGCCCGGATGTACATAGAGCTGTACATAGCTGGAAGGCAGCTCAGTCAACAGCAGAACATTGGTGACTTGAGGACTGACTCGCATACTTATTTTTATATTGATTTTCAATCAGTTGTGCTGTGCCTGCTGGTTTAAAGAACAACTGTGTTTAAAAAGCTCTGTGGTATTCAATACAGCCATCTTTCAGACAATAAAACTTGGTACAAACAGTTTTGTGTGCTTTCAGTGCTTATGTTACATTAAATGGTATGTTACATTAAAAAAATGACACGTGAGAGAAAGGGAACAATAATTTGTGTTTCGTTTCTCAGTCATTTACATTACAGTAAAAACTGATGACTCAAATGCATTAAAAAAACAACCTGTATCTCTATTGCCCTTAGACGTCTTTCATTTTAAATAATAATACATATGTAATATTAATAACTTTAATATGAATCTTCAAAATCTTTATTCATTATATAGTTGCAGCTTATATAAGAATGTATTTCTTTGTTTTTCTGCATTTGTAATGCCAAGATCAATTAGTGATACCACTAGAGACATTATCTGAAAATAAATGACTATTAATATGGTCACGAACTGATTTTTGACACAGTGTATGATCCTAATGAAAAGTATATCTGAATATTACAGTGCTCTACCAATGATATTATGGTACTTCTATTAATTCCTCTTATTTCTTGTTACCTTACCATGCTTAAACAGCCAATGAAATGGTTTGGAGAATGTGTACAGCTCCTCATGAACAAGATGATTTATAAATATGTTTTGTCTATTTTCTCAAAATAAAAAGACAGGATTTTGTATATATGGTAAAAGTTGTTTTTTAATCTATTCAGTGAGGAGAAGTTAGTGTATTAGTTTGGAAAGTGCATGATATTGTAGGTTGTCTCCAAGGAAGCATATTGATTGATTGCTCTTTATTCAGTTTATCAGCAGAACTGCAGTAAGGTTGCATATACATTAAGATTGCACAATACAATAGTTAACATGAGCCAAGATTTACAAATGCTTTAAAAGTGTTGTTCATTCTTAGTTTGTGTACATTTCTACATGCTAATTTATTTCATGATCAATATTTCAATAAACATCAAGAGCAGACATGAACTCATGTTGAACAAAAGTACATTAATAAATGAACATTAACCAAGATTAGCCCTAATTTTAATTTGTGTTGTGCACTATAAGAAATTCATACAGATTTGTAATGACATAAGGTAAATTACAAATTTTAATTTTTCATCCCTTTAACGCCCACATATCCTAACACTCGTGAGTATATATATATTTAATACTTTTTATTTTACTATAATAATACTAATACTTTTATATAATTTTATATATTTTACTATAATATAATACTAATTATTTTTCTAATTTAAAATCGCCATAAAGATATCGGTAACACTTTACAATAAGGTCCCAATAGTTAATGTTAGTTGAGCACTAACTAAAATTAACTAACAATGAGCAATACATTTGATACAGTGTTTATTAACCTTTATCGTTAGTTAATCAAAATACAGCTGTTCATTTTGAGTTCATGTTCGCTGAAGTCTACCGAATAACATCAACAGATACAACTACTGATTTTAGTAATGTATTAGTAAATGCTGAAATTAACTAAGATTAATAAATGTGACCCTGGAGCACAAAAGCAGTCTTAAAGGGGTCATATGATGCTGCTAAAAAGAACATTATTTTGTGTATTTGGTGTAATGAAATGTGTTTATGCGGTTTAAAGTTAAAAAAACACATTATTTTCCACATAATGTACATTATTGTTGCACAAAAGCAGTCTTAAGTCGCTGGGGTATATTTGTAGCAATAGCCAAAAATTAAGTAAAGATCATGTTCCATGAAGATATTTTGTAAATTTCCTACTGTAAATATATCAAAACTTAATTTTTG